ATGGAAATCTGAGTTTGGATTTCCAGCAGCCATGTAAAAGCCTTGCATGAAAGCTTGTGCGTCTGTAACCTCAGTGATGTGGGGGACACAGGTGGGCCCCGGAGACTCAATGGTGAGCCAGCCTAACTGAAATGTCAAGCTCCAGGTTCAACTGGAGATCCTGTCTCAAAAGATAAGGCAGAGAGTGATAGAGAAAGACTCCCAACATTGACCTCTGACCTTCACACGTGCATGCACAGAGTGTTGGAATCCAAACTCTAGTTCTCTGCCAGAACAGTTGCAAGAACAGTGAGAGCTCTTTTGGGGCTTGGTGGCACAAGGCTTTAACCGCAGCACTCAGGAGGCAGAAGCTTGTAGATCTCTGAGTTCAAGGCCAGCCTGATCTATAGAGGGAGTTCCCAGGGCAGATGGAAGTACTCAGAGAAACCCTGTCTCAAAAACAAAACAAAACAGAGCTCTTAACTTCTGACCTGTCGTTCAGCCCTTTGTTATCCCTTTCACCTGAAGAAAATAGTACTACAGATACTGTTATCATGTAGCTCTAGAATGTCTCCCCAAGGCCCTTGTGTTGAAGGCTTGGTTGCCAGGTGTGGCACTATTACCTGGTGGTGGAACCTGTATTAGGTCACTGGAGGCATGGCCTTGAAGGAGATACTGGGACCCAGTCCCCTTCCCATCTCTGCTTCCCAGCTGTCCCACAGACCCCTTACCATCATGTACCTCCCCACCACAGGCCCCAAGGCAACATGGGCCAACTGACCATGGACTCAAACCATGACCTAAAATAAAACTTTCTTCCTTAGGAATTTATTTCTTCTTATTTTAATTTTGTTTTGTTCATTTGTTTGTTTTGGTTTTTGTGCCTTTTTGTTTATTGGTCGGTTGGTTGGTACTGAGGTTTGAACCTAGGACCTCACATGTGCTAGGCTATATTCTTAGCCCTTCCTTGGATATTTTATTAAATGACAGAAAGCTCAGTAAGATAGGCATGGCCACACTTGATATAATTTCTATCCCTTACTCCCAAAAGAAAGCACTTAAAAGCTACTGTGCATCCACACTACATAGAGTGTATCCATACATCTACAGCTCTATCTAAGCCATGCATAGCATAGTTTGGGGCACTTCAGAAACTTGAGATAAACACCATGATCCTTTGAATAATAATATCGAGTTAAGGATCTGTGCTACCCAGGCTGGTCTCAGATTTCATGGTTCAAACCTCAGCTCCCAAGAAGCTAGAACTGTTGATTTTGTGCATATTAATCTCTTGTTTCTGGCCATCGTTATTTTGAGGCTGATCCAGCTTGATACTAGTAGCTCGTCATCAAGCTCGCTCTGTGACTCTAATTCTAAAACTACAAAGTTCTATTTCCCCCTTCTTCTGTGGATGGACATTAGATTTTCTTTCTCTCTCCTAGATTTACAAATGGCACAGTCAACGTTGTTGGCTGCGCATTCCTGAGTGACCTGGAATAAGCCCTCTAGATGACAGAGTAAGAATACTTCCTTCAGGATGGCTGCACAGAAAAGCTCCTCTCTCCAGCAACCTGATCCATTTAAGAAAATGTTCCCAGTGGGCAATAGCTAGAAATACCAGATGAAACAAGAGAAGCTGCCTTTAAATGTGTAAAGAAATCTAAGGAAAGCAAGGATATGATGTCTGGAAGGGCTGACGTCACTGGTAATCCCAGTGCTAAGAAAGTTGAGGTAAGAGGACTGTGAGTTCATGCTAACCTGAGCTACAGAGGCAGACTCTATTTCATAAAACAAAACAAATTTAAAAACTATAAACACACAAGATTATGGAGAAAATGACAACCCAATGCCTATCTGGTTATGAGGAATGCATCAAAGACTTGGGTTCCAGGGATATAAGAGACCACACAATGCTTTTAAGGATGCCTATCCAATAACTGTGTCAAAAGTTAAAGCTATAACACAGGGCCACAACCCAAAGGGTGTCTTGTGGATAACAATACTCCACACTCAGTGTCAGCTGGGACAACTCCAACCCTGTGGAAGCCAGGCCTCCTCAGATCTTCAGCCTGGTTTAGTAGTCTCTATCTTTCTCACTGGCCATCTCCCTGTCCCTGTGATTACTCCTGGTTATCGACTGGCATCACTGTCCATTCTGCTTTGATGGCTTACATGTTTCCAGAGGTGTTGACACCCTCCCCGTGCAATGGTCAGAGACTGAGTCCTACTGTCTGCCTGTCCCGTGGCTCAGGTAAAGTGTGAGGTCCAGTCAGAACTTCCTCTAAGCTCAAACCAGCCATGGCCTCATTCCTAGTGTGTAGCATAGAAGAAGATGTTGTACTTTCCAGGTGTTAGAGGTTGACAGAGAGAATCTGGTGTTAAATAATAGGTGAGCCATTCCCTGCATGTCGGGCTGTCCTCAGTGCCCTCAAGATTTCCCTCATGACCGGGAAGTCAACAGTCCAGCAAGCAGCAAGAGTCAGTCTATGTTAGACTGTGTTAGAAGAAAACCATCCAGTAGATAATAGCACACATAAGTAGGGGTAAATAAGGAGGGGTAAATAATCAAGCTTAAAATTATATATTAGACTTTCTAGAAATGCAAATAATGATCACTAAAACCAAAAGCTCAGTGGGCGGGTTAAGCTGCAGACTGCCCTGCATAGTTCCTGTTTCTCCACATGGTGACCAGTGTTTGAGTAAGGGTGGTGCAAACTGCACCAGGCTGGCCAAGCACAGGGCGTATTGTGTCTTCACAGAACTGAACTCATCCCCAAAGGCCCTCTCTGTCACAGTTTCCTGGAACTTGGAACTGTAGACACTTTTAAGCCCTGTCCCCTGTTGTTTGGTTCGGTTTGCTGTTGTTTTTGTTGTTATTGTTGTTGAGGCTGGGTCTCTCTCTATAGGGTCCAATTAAACACCGAGCCCAGTCCTTCTGGGCCTCCCTGCTGGGATCACAGGCACACACCACCAGTATTTATCTTTTCTTCTGTTTTCTCCCTCTCCTCTACCCACTTCCCTTGCTTTTGTTTCCTTGTAGTTTTAGATCCCCCAAGACTATTGTGACTCTGGGGTCAGGTCTCACTGTGCAGGGACAATTCTTTTTCTCCTGGTTCCCACACCCCAAAGCCTGTCACCTATTGGCTCTAGCATTCTGCTCTTCTGCTCTTAACCCTGCTGGCCCCCAGCTTCTCTGCTCACTCTGCATCTGCCTCAGCTCTACTTCCTTTACAGCAGCCCACATTAAACAGCAGCTCTCACTGTTCTTTTCCTGGGGACAGGTCCTGGTCAAGGCAAACAGATACAATTCTGTTACTAATATACAGGGACCACAAAGCTTGGCCTTCCTATACACAGGCTTGCAGAAGACTCCACGCTGGCTGAGATGTGCTGCCCAGAGTTCATCTCAACTATGCTCATTGATTTGTTCAAAATCCAAGGAAAGCTGTTTCCCTACTTGCCTCCTGCTTCTTTCCTAAGGGATTATTTCACTTGAGATCGTTCTCAATTCTGAACCAGGCTATTTTTTAGTAACTAAAGACATTAAAAAAAAAACCTGTAATCTAACTCATATTCTTAAGCACCACTGGTTCAAAGGGGTATGCACTGATTGCTTTAAAATCTAAGCTTTAGTGTGGAATAGCCTTTCCCTTGACTAATGTCCAAGCATGCAGCCTTTAGTATGCCGCTGTGTGCAAATAGTGATTTTACATCTTTTAGACACTGGGGATGCAGGCAGGGCTCAAGCATCATGGTGGCTTATGGAGATGGAGATGCTCTCTGCACACAGCCATGTATCCATGCTTTCACCTCGAACTTCTGACTTTCCTTTGTACCACCTGCTTTCAGGGCTCCGTGATTGTTGAAGATCAGCCTCATCGCCACTCCAGGGATGGCTTTAATATTTATTAACAATTACTGAGTTCCTAGTGTATTCTAAGCTCTGACAGAGCTTAGGAGAGTCAAAGATAAATGAAAGAAGATTTTTCCTGCATACGCTCACGGCTCCTTCCACTTCCTCCCAGCTCCAAAGCCCAGTGCACAAAACAAGGATGCACTTCCCATCTCACTTTGAAAGTAACACATACACTTTTCACATGCTATGTCAGACATGTGGGCACACCACGTAAAGAGTGCCCTGCAAGAGAGCCTGAGAGGCTGGGAGAGGCGTGGAAGCCTTGCTCTGTGTCATCAGTGCCCGATGTCACCATCCTATCTAAATAACAATGGCACATTTTCTTTCTGCTTTAGATACAGCCCTTCCCTAGAAGCAGGCATTATCTATCTATTCCCAGAAACCATGGATGCAAGTGCATCTACAAAGGGCAAGTCAACAGAACCTTCAGAGGCAACTGAGAGTGTTTGCTTGTTGTAGCAACTGCCAAGAGAGCCAGTCAACGGCTGCTCAGCCTCAAGTATTGAGATGTAGTACTGTCTCTCCCAATACCTTGGCTGCCTGTAATCATGTTAGCCTTTAAAGCAAGTGTTCATTAATAACACTGGGTTACCAAGATCAAAGAAAACCAGATCAAAGAATTATCTGGATGTTAGAGAGTGGAAAAATGGATGCCTAGTAACTCATTTCCCATTTACATCTTTTTTCAAATCCTTTCCAAGAGTACAGCTCCATAGCCTAGTTGTTTCCCCCCCAAGAAGTTTTTGGAATTGGCAGAGTTCTCAGCTATTAAAGTGAAATCATTACTTCTGTCTTTTAGCAGACTGGAAAATTCTTTTCCAGGAACTGCCAAAAAGTTTATGGTTTTCTTAATATGCCAGTAAAGCTGATTAATTATAGGGATCATAAAAGGCAAAGATAGCCGGGGGTTTAGAACAAGTGAGAGACTGCGAGGAAAGCAAGACCCATCCTTCGGTCCTGCCCTTTCAAAGACAATTTTAGTTTTCTTCGCTTTTAAGTTTCACCGAAGGGATTAGGTTTTCTGGGTGGGACCCTCCCCGAAAGAGCCCCGTAGCCGCGGGCACCTACAGGCTTCTATCCTTGTTCCCAGCTGGAGGTCGCTTACCCTGGTCTGAACGACCGAATGCGAGTCCCAGGGCCAAGACCAGGGCAATGCACAGCGCGGTCATCTCAGCTGGCTCGCTCTCGCTCAGGATGCTGCGGAACCCCGGCCTCCCTCCGACGCGCACATTTCCTGTTTCCTGCTCCTTTGGGTCGGTGCTCACTTGAAGGAGAGGTGTTTGCCTGATTTTTAGGAAGTGATGTAACTCTGCAGGAGCCTGTCAGACTGGCAAGGGTTGCAACAGAGGAGCTGCTCGTCCAGCACTGATTCAGTTAGCACCTCCCTAGCCTTCGGGAGCATGGGCCTCCACCTTTCTATCCCTGAGAAACTGAGTCCGTTGCTCAGGTGTCATTCAGCATCAGGAGGGGGCCTGAACCACACACGCACTCTGACTTGGCAAGTTTGCACAGCTCTCTAGCGGATCTCTGGAGCTGTCCAGAGAGCCTTGGATAGCGCTGCCCTGAACTCAGTGCTGATGGTGTTGTCTCAAATCAGCGCTGTCTAGCTGATTTGGCCACATTATCTGCTGTGCACTGGACTGAGTCTCATGTGAAGTGAACTTCATATTAAGTAAACCTAATTTTACATTTAAACAACTTCTTGTGCTCAGTGACTGTTGAGACAGACAGTGCAAGCTGTCCAGGCAGCAAAAAAACTGCCAGTCCATTGCTGGACAGCCAGCCAGGCTCATTCCTCTGCATCAGCCCTCCAGTGCCTGCTTCCCAGAGGCCCTATTTGGACCTATGGACAATACTGCACCTTCCTTCCCTGGGAGAAGTATCTTTGCAAGGAAAACTCTGAACATGCAGGTGGAAAGTGGACCTGTATCTCCTGACCTTTCCTTTACATGACAATTTGTTTCTATAGGGATGTTAACCAGAAAAACAGGATTGAATAGGATTAAGATAAGTCCAGAAATCCTACCCGGTGGAAACAATAAAGGAGGGAGGGTCTTCTACATATTGGAGTGGCTAGAATGCCCTCCCCTTGACTGGATTGGCACCTATGCACATTACTAATTAGTTTCCGTATTACTTTTGTTGTAGCGCTTAGAAACAGGTAAGCAAAGAGGCCAGCATCAGACTCCTCTAAAGAGGAATGTCACCCTTCTCCCCGTGCTGTCCCAGGTGAGCCGCTAGGTGTAAGCATATCAAGTGACTGGGGTTCCTCAGCCCTGACACAGTGTTCTTTGGCCCACTGCTTCCCAGTGTTGACCTCAGTTCATGTCTACATAAATAGTGGTGATTCACATGACAACCAGTGTGTTCGCGGACTTACAGAATGTCTTAAAGTGACAGAGCCACTCTGGACACACTACTCTCTCGCCATTGGGAACAATGCAAAAGAAAATAGATGTGTTCAGGACCGGATGACGTATCTGAAAGCAGCAAAGTAGGAGCTAGTCATCACCCTCTCACGGACAGTCACTAGGCCCCTGGCTCCAAGACAGTTTGGGTGGCAGTCCTTCCTGTGGGAGTGAGCTTTTCTTCAGCTGTGACACACACCTGCAAACAAGAAGGCCTGGGGCCTGGGAGTTCTGAGCTTCATTTTGTCATTGTCATCCTCCTCTTAAACACAGCTTTGGCTCTTGGGCTGAGGCACACATTTGACAAGGGCAAGGCTATTTGTCCGATTCCTTCCAGTCAGATCTCCCACTGAACCCCAGGCATGGGCACACAGTTTAGTATCCATAAGCCTGCTGTGTGTCAGTTCTGAGCAGTGAGGGTCCTTCACTCTGTTAGAAAGTTGAGCAACAGCAGGCAAGACCACAGCCTGTCATTTTCCTTTGACCCCTGTGCTCACTAAGACCTTCATGGTGGTGCAGTGGCTCTCAGGGAAAGAAAATTACCGTTATTGATCAGAAAGTGGTAACACCCAGAGACCTACCCACTGCAGCTAAAATCACCAGGGACTGTGGCAGGAAAAGGGCTATTTACCTCTGTTTGTTCTCATTTCACCAACCGTTAATTTTGGAAAGCGACTGCCAGGGCCTCAGATTAAATTCTGGTACACTCTTGGCAGGAAATCAGGGCCTCGGTCCTCACCCTGAGGCACTGCTCTTTGTGACTGGCAGGTCCACAGGTGCCTGTAGATGGCTGTGGAACAATGAGAAGAAAAGGATCAGGGGTGTCCAGGACATGCCCTGAGGCCTCACAGGCTCAAGAGGTTACAGATGTGAGACAGCTTCTAGCTTTGTTTTAAGGCAGTTGACTTCCTTTCGCTGAGAGTGTGGATTTTCCAGCCATCCATTCAATCTACAGAAGCGGCTCCCTGCCACGACCATTGCTTTCTGTCTGTGTCCTCACTTCAACTCCATGGGCCACAGGGGCTGAGGAAGCTCAAGGACTCAACGGAGAAGCTCTCACTGTGAATGCCAGCTTTCTGTCCATAGTCCCCTTCTGCCCAAACTGTGTTCTTGCCAACAAACCCAGGTACACACACACACACACACACACACACACACACACACACACACAGACTTTCATGTAGTGTTACACACATGCAACACTACCTCACACACTCATGCATATACACAGTGGTGCATACACCACACACAGGTGTACCCATGCTTGTACACACTCCCCCCCCCCATCCTCATAAATGCACTCAAAACTCTCTCTCCACACACATTCCTGTACACCATGGAATAGAGCAAACAAGAACAAACAGTGGCCAATTAATTCCAAGCTTATTCTAGCAAGGGAGCTGGCTACTATCTTTGGCAGAAACCTTTAGACAGGCTGGGGCTGTAGGAAAGCATCCCAGCGTATCAAGTGAGAGGCTGCAGGCAGGCTCCGTGGAAGGCTGTTGGCCACAGAAACTTCAGCAAGTTCAGGTTGTTGTTTTCAGCAACTGGTGAACAGTCTGCCCTTGGCTTCTCCAGAATCAGACAATGGCATAAATATCTGTCTCTGTCAGATAGTGACCTTCCTGCAATGTTTCTTTATAGCAGGCTGTCTTCTGAATTGATTGCTGGAGACAAGAGGGAAGTTTCCCAGGCTGCTGCAGGTCCAGAGTTCAAGTGCTTTTGCACATATGATCAGGCATTGCCATTTGTGTATTTGCTTTACTATGATCACCCCATGCACACTCACATACTTCTACAGTGTTCTCACACTCCAAAACACCCACACAGGCACTGCTGCAAGCTTTCCAGAACATTTTTCTGTCTCCAGAGAAGGGGTTGGCAGCTCCTTGGTACTTACTAAGTGGGAGCAGGCCTGCAGAGGAGAATACTGACAGCAGTAGAGACTGCAAATCCTCTTGAAGGCAGCATGAATGCAGGGGGGGGGGGAGCAACAGCCCCAGGAACCAAAGGCATGCCCGAGAGAGCAGGTGGGAGTAATGTAACGGCTGGAGCAGCAAGAGGAGAATAAATCCCAGTGTGCAGAGTTGCAGTCGGGCAAGTGTTAAGTATTATTGAAGCATTGTTTACAACTGTTAAAACTGCTGTTACTTGCTGTCAACAAGCATTCCTTCCAACGCGCTTATTTTCTACGAGGAAGCAGACATGGATGGGGACACTTTGATACTCTAATTAGCAGGTACTGAACTCTTTCTTGCCATCTAAGCTGCCCTGATGCCCTGAGCAAACAAACGGGCTATAGGTTTTACAGCCAACTGGACTATCCTTTCTAGCTTGCTAGCACCAGTGATCTTGAACATTCCACAGAGATCTAAGCCTCCTGGACCATTTCCACCTTGGCCAGAGGGGAAGTTCTTCCCCTGGTAGAGGGACTACTATGATGGGGTGGGTGTGTGCGTGGGGGGGCTATGATTGATCCAAAACACAAGCCTCCACAACTGTGATTGGTTCTAAACCAACAGCTGTGACAAATGGGTTGATGGCTGTAAGCACTTCCCCCCTCTTGTAGTCTATGACCCAGGCTGCTTAGATTCAGTTGGGGAATCTACTACCAAGTGCCTTCCTGTGCTGAGTCCCAGGGCTACAACACTGGGGCCTGGAGTGCTCTTGCCATTGTTGCTTTCAAGAAGAGTGTGTGCTGAGCTGGGGGGGGGGGACAGAAACAGTGTCAAGGAGTGCAGTTTCACAGCTAAGCAAGCACCCACAAGAGTTATAGTGGCTTTGACTTGGTTCTGAAGGCAGTTTGGACCAGTTGTGTGGGCATGTGCACACCTTCTTCCCTGTCTAAAGACCTTGAAGGCATCAAATGTGCACCCAGCACCTTGACACTGTACTGCATGGTGCATGATTATTCTCACACCATTAGAAGCAGTGAGCTTGAAGGGACCAGACCCTCACCCAGCTTCCCTGCTTTATCAGCCATGACAGGCTGCAGAAGAGACCCAGCAAGATGTAAGCTTCTGTCTCAGCACTTGTTGCTGACTTTCTGGCCTTCTGACCTTGCCTTGCAGGACCTGCCCCAGTCACTAGGAGGTCAGATACTCTCCATGTGGCAAGGAACCATTCAGAAGTTAGCTGGTGGGCTCTGGATGTGCTTTATAGTAACAGTGGCCTACAGAGCAACCAGTTGACCAATCAACACAAGACAGGTCGCCTAAGCCCAGAAGGGCACTAGTCCTGAGACTGTTGTGGATGCCTATACACTCCCCTTGCTCAACCCAATAAATTCCTTGCCTCGAGGTCCCTTCAGGTCCCTCTCACTCCACCTGCCATGTTGAACAGATGGAGGGCTTGAATTAATATAGTTAACTTGTTAAATAATAAAAGACTCTTTGCTTTTGCATAAGAATGGGTGTCTTGGTGATTTGGGGGTTCAGAATTTGGGCACAGCAAGCTAACAGGAGAGAACAGTTTATAAAAGGATAAAGGGCTATCAGGGGCTAGAGAACCTGCAGGCAGGCCCCAATCTCTGGAATGTCCAGAAGGGTCTCAGGCCCAGGACCAACAGTGGTAACACTGCTGTCACCAAGGGCCAGGAGTTCCAGCACCCAGGGTCACAAAGGAACAATGGAAGGCACTGCTTGCTGTTGCTCCCCCAGCTCACTGTTGCTCCCCCTAGCTCGTTGCATGCCCATGTCTGTCAAACACTGAGAAGGAAGGAAAGCTTTGAGATGAGTATCTGTGGGGCTGTTCCGTGCCCAGACACTATCTATTCAAACAGAAACCAAGATCTTTAGCAGCTCCCTGATGATACGGGGACTCCCCCCCACCCCACCCCACCCCCCTCACCCCCCCCACCCCCCCACCCCGGCCACAGACCTCAGCCCTTGCCTCTTCCAGGACAACATCTTCCAAGGCAGAGATGACAGCCTGGCTGCCACAAAATGAAAGGGAGAGGGCTGTGAATGGGGTTAAGGGGGAAGCCGGCATGTAGAACAGAGTACAGATCTGGGGTCCA